AACAGATTCACTTTTTTAGAGACGGTAAAGAAAGGAATCAGAATAGTTTAGCTACATCGAAAATTTCCATATTTATTCCATAGACTTTCATATTTAAAGTAATCATATTTTCATATTACAGCAAGCAAAAAATTATCCATGTTTGCGAATTAAAATTACTCGTCCTATTTATGAATTGTATAAGAAAGAAATATATTCGATTCACTTGCTTATGATTAAAACTAAACACATCTATTGAGCAGACAGAGGAGTTCGAATAAAGCGTGCATCTTGAATTACAATGTAAAGATTGTCTTCCCCTAAAAACAAAGAGAAGAGAGAATATTTAAATGATACAACATATGCAAATAAAAAGAATAATAAAGAATGAAACAGCAACTATTTTGTAGATTATATACTGGCAGAATTATGTTGTTAAACAGAATGTTTTCAAATTTGAGTTCTTTCGTTATAAATTCTTTAAATTTGTAAAAGTCTGATTGCCATCAAAAATATCAAGCTAAATATTTAAAAATTGATATTCTTATTTGTTTTGAATGCATAGTGGTATATTTAATCTCGCAGTTTTGCCTTTTCTAACTAAATCTTAGCTATCAAACAAATTTGTAAAATAGTCGACGTACGTGTTTAAATCTCTTTCGTGTCAGGAATTATTCCTTCAACATATTTTTGCGTTTATATTCAATTATAGATATTTTTATATAATATCAAAATTGGATTATATATCGCTGGAGGATGTAAATTTAACTTCATCTGAAATTACTTTACGATTTTTAAATATTTGTTCAGTTTCATATGCAAATAATAAACATCGAAAATTTTATATGAATTCAAGTAAATAATTTTCCAAACAGGTTCGTAGAATAGAAATGCTGATGAAATTAAGATAACCCTTTGGTACAAACTAAAAAAAAAATTTACTGAATGATTAAAGCATACAAGACCTGTGATACCATGAAAAATAACGAAACTCGAATGAAACCCTATAAATTATACGATACATAACTTGACCCAATACACAGCATTGCATATGAGGTTAAAAATGATAATAAAAAATAAGACAAAATGTTACATTTGCAAATACTTGTTCTTACCAACACCAATCATCATTTCATTCTTCATAGTTCGAATTCTGAAAAATACCAAATCATTCTCTGGATCCAGATCTTGAACAGTCTTCCTGGCTAATTCATTCAAAGGTACGAGAGAATTGGCGATCTCAACTGTAGTAGCATTATCCATGGATGTCCGCATGCCTGCAAATCACAAGCAGAAGAGATTAAACAAAATTAATAATAACGAAATATGCATATACCTGACAGAACAGTGGCATAGTTGCCAAGCGTGGTGCACTGAATAATTAGGAGAGGTTTAATTAGTTCTAATGTTACAGGAACTTTTCCGATTGAGAACACGTGTTCGCCCTGGAGAGACTCTTGTTCGACCTTAATTAAAATCAATTCATCATGGAACAAATTATTAATTATTAATCCTTCTGAACCGTTAAACTTCTGTTTTGTTTTTGTTTTTTTATGATGGGGGTGGTCAGTCCAATTTAGTGGTTAGTGGAATGGAAGTAGCATCATTGTAGTCTTAAACATATTATGGTCGTTTCAAATACGTTTTAATTTGCATATGAAGGAGGGATTGGCGATCGCAACGCTCGAATACGGCATCTGGGGAGAGACCGATTTCATGCCTTTGGTCCTTCTCCCTTCCCTGTCCTCCTCTTTTC